TCTCTCACTCCCCCCCTCTCTCTCTCTCCCACCGTGTCCACAGTGCACCCCCTAGCCACCGCTCAAGGTAGTGGAGGAAACAGCCCACACACACACATTATATGTACGCACACACACACAGAAATATACCATGTGAACACACAGTGACAAACAGGAGGAAATATGGAAACTATCCCAGTTCACACTATGTATGTGTGCAAGGCGTGCACACACAAACGAATAATAACGTGCACGGACACAGTCTTGATGCCTTTTGTTGAAACTTAAAAGAGCATCCCGGTGAACAGAACAGCAAAATAAATAAATAAATAAATAAAGATAATACAATTAGAGACAATTCATACAATTAAATGTTGTTGTTTTGCAATGTTTTTGACTTCCCCATCTCTGCTGTGGCGGTGCTTCACACCTGGAAGCACTGACCTTTTCACAAATGGAAACCTTTTAAAGTTGACCTTCTGCTGCAACGCTGATACAATTGCATTACAGCTATTACACCTTAAGGAACAGCAATGGGGAACGCCACAGATGAAGTGTTCCAAGATAAATATGGCGGTTACAAAGAAAAAGATTTTCAAAAAGCCACGTGTATTCTCAAATATTAAAAGCCGGCGCGCATCATGACAGTGTGAACCGGGAAGATGACAGATTGTCTCTTGAGGAAAATATTCTTGGGAGATACATGGATAGAGCGCCAGGGCTACAAAACACCACAGATGCATCGTTATTCTCTCTAACAAATGCAGCCAGAACAGCATTCAGACTGCATGTGCAATGGATTGTTGATCAGCTCCTGACACATTTATCATTTAACGTTCGGGAACCTTCCGCACCATACGGCTGCTCTTGAGAACCTTGAACTGAAATACATGGCTACTGAAAGCCATTTATTATCCCAATAATACCCATGAGGGCAGTCTTTTCTGTGATTACAAGCGCCATTCGCAACACCAGTTTAACACAGTACCTGCTAATGTCGACACATCCAGGCCTAAGGCGTGTGTGTGCGCCAGAGCCCATACAAAGCTAGTCGTCTCAGTGTTTTAATCGGAGCTGGCTATGCGAGCCGCATGGTTAACTGCAGCTTTTATCCCCTGTAACCCTTCTTCTTCCTTTTTCTCCTTTTTTTTTTAAAGCGGTCCACTTGCTGGTGTGCCTACCTCGCATAGGCACATTGAAAAGGGGAAATTCTGGTTTCTCACAACCTGAAGTCTCATGTTTGTAGTTTTGGCCATCATTCTTGTCTGTGATGTCAAGTTTATTGCTGAAATCTGGGAATGCAGCAACAATACTAAAAAGAAGTCAGATGGGGCGAGAAACACGAGCAGTCAGACAATCACGCAGATTTTTACCAAACTTTTTGGAACAGAAGGTGAACAGTTTAGTTTTTTTTCCCCCCCGAACTGTCTGTTGCAACCCTCCATCACAGTTTTTACACTGACTTCTGTAATTTTCCATAGTTCGGACACTGGGGGTTACTCATGTCTCCCTGTTTCGAGAACGATGTATTACGTGTACCTGTCAGAAGGTTCCCCAACATCACCATGTCATGTCACTTCAGTATTTGTTTTTTTAAGACGGGAAAGCATCCCAGAGCAGCCAGGCTAAAGAGACTCGACCTAGCAACATGTGAAACGCAGTGCTACTCAGTATCCCTCTGTTCACAGCGGAGTGGAGTTAAATATCGGAGCACTGGAGTCGAGGGTGCCACAGTCAGAGACAGTCGCGCTGTCCTCCGTTTCCTTCATAATAATGCTCTTTCGTCCCTCTCTGTTTCACAGTTAAGTGTTTAGGTCGTCGTCAAAGTGAAATATTTACGCCACAGCGGTTGTGTTTTATTGCTGCTGAAATGTAGGCTATTATGTGGCTATTTAAAACATGTCCGGCAGTTGTTCTAAATGGCTGGAATTCAGGAATATTAATGGCCATATTGGCCATCAGAAAAAAGAAAAGTTGATCATAAACTCTGCTATGGTCCACCCACACAGATGTTTTCACTTATTGTGCCTAATTAAGCCTCTTGCTGGGACTGTTGGGGCTGTACAGACTCTTGCTTGATTGAGAGTTACACCTTCATCATTCTCATTGGTTCATATAGCTCGGTGACCTGATTTGATTCCCAGCGAAGGTCCTCCCAACTACAACCTGAGCTAATCAGACAGAATAAGTGAGAACACCTGTAAGTCAGCCAACTCATTACAGCCTGATTCTATTATGTAATGATCGCCGTTACAACATTAAACCTACTCTAACATGAAAATGTATCACAGAAAAATGAAAACCCAACGAAGCACTTGTAAAAAGATAAAACTTGTTGATGATCACCTGTTGTTAAGGTATAAGTAATGTTTAACTTAACCTGTTTCCATCCGAAATGCTTTTCAATCTCCACAGACCGAATTTCTTAATGTGTTTCACACTTCACGAAACGCTCCATTACAGTAATACGCCTGCTTTGCCATTAACTTTTAATTGAATGTACAATGTCCCTCAAATCATAGCTCTTTACTACTAATTATAGCACCTGAATGTATTTGTATGCAGTTGTATACTTGGCTTTAAAAATTATTCCTTTATTAACTATATGGTGTTGACACAATAAAGATTATTGAAATAATCAGAGGAGTATATCACAGATCACTGTGCTGCTTACAGGCAGTGGGAAGTGGTCGTAATAGTACTAGTTTGGATCCAGTCCACATATGAATCTTAAGTCATTCTAGTCTAGACTGTCAGTGCAGAAAGCAGGAGCACAAATCTTGAATTGAAGTGTAGTTCTATAGAGCAAAACTCACACAGACTTCTACATAAAGTGTGTGATCATGCTGAATACTTCCTTCTCTTTTGCCATGACTACTGTCTCAGGCCATGAGGTGACAGGAGAGCTGAGGTTTAATCCAAATACTGTATGATTTGACTTATTCCTTCCCTCTCTCTATTTAAAAATGCTTTCATCTGTAAGAGCACCTTTAATAGTATTTGGCAAGAAAAAAAAAACGCACGCAGTTGATGTTCCACCAATATGCATGTTAATTTAAGGCACAACAAAAGCTCTATATTGCCACTTGTGACAGGACAAAGAGGAAAGGGTTACTCACCATTTAAATAAGTGAAGTTGGCGGTTAGTCTCTCCCGAAGTTCAGCTGTACTAACTCCATTAAAAAAATAAATGAATTAACCAGTGTCTGGCTTCATGTAGTGTTCCAGTCAGTTCTTTAAAAAAGAGGTGGCTGGCTAACATTTGGTGGTGCACATATAGTTACGGGGCAGGGGAAGCAGTAACAGCAGACTGAAGGTGAAGGGCTGCACCTAGCGAAACAACGTTAGCCGCTAAGGCGTTAGCCGCAGTGTTAGCGCTCTTATCTCGGACTGATGTTGTCTCTGTGTTTGGCTACTGCTCCTCACTTTTTGTTGTACAGTACTTCTCACGTCCCGAAATGTTTTCTCAGGTGCTGCGGCATAGTTCTCCAGCCGGTAGACAGCAGTGAGGAAGGGGAAAACAGGGTTGTCTTCTCAATGTTTGCAAGCTAACTTGGTTTACTGGCAAAGGGTGCGAGCCACTTCCTGTCATGTTTGTAACGTTAACTTAATAAATGGACAAACTAATTCAACCGTCTAAAGTTCTGCTTGGGCATTTTTAAAGAGTATTAGGGTGACGTTTTTGTTGTTGTTTGCATTTCTAGTATAAAACAAAATGTCGAGAATAAAGAAAACTTTCAGTATTAGTCCCAGACACACTGGCCTAAGAAAAAACAAATCAATAAAAAAGATTTTTTAGAATAAAGTAGAAAAAAGAAATCATAAGAATAAAGTCAAAATGTTGAGAATAAACTGGAAATGATAAGATTTAACCTTGGGGTCCTCCCCCAGGAAATGTTGATGTTATTTGACAAAAAACATAATGTTAGACAACAGTCATTGCTATATGTAGGCCTATATAAAGAAGAAAAAAAACCCAGACAGGTTCTAGTTTTTCACATTACATTCTGACAATAGCAAAACAAATATCCATATCCATAGTTTACAAAATCAATATATAAGCTTAATAATATAAAACTGGAAACAAATCTAAAAATATTCCTGACAAATATCTCTTCTCTGCTTTTTCTACTTTGTACTTGAGCTGCCTCTGTGCCGTCTGTCTGTCAGCTCTGTGTGTGTGTGTGTGTGTGTGTGGAACTGAGCCCTGCCCTCTGGCCTGCAGAAGAGAGGACAGAGAAGTGTGACCATACATTATTAATTCATTAATCTAATGTATTAATTCATGATAAGCTGTTTTGGTGGTGCCATACGTACAGCATATGGTGCGCATGTTGCCGATGCAAGGATATCAGTTGTTATACCTTCATGCAATACAGAGCGGATATGTTGTATCACAAGACACAATAAGACAGTTGATCAAGTTGATTGATCCAAAATGTGTGGAGCTCAAGCAGGCATTACTGTGACAAAGGTCCCCACTAGCTAGGGCATATGAATTTGTATAAAAAGCTGAAGCCATACAGCATTGCCATCAATGGTTGTATTGATGGTTAATTTGTGTGGATGGAAGCGTGCAGAACAAACAACCACTCAAAAGTAATATCAGACTATTTCATCACATCTATTGCACTTGGGAGGATGCCCGAGCGACTGA